GCCGTTCGCTGATCTTCCCAGAGTATATGAACAGGTGATGAGCCCAAGTGGGCAAGCTGCGCTTGGTGCAAGGAGGCCACTACAGACCGAAGACAGAAGGCCCAATGGCGTAGGGCCGAGAAATCATCCTGCTGATGACGTAGCATATGAAAGGGCTTTGGCAGCATCCGGATCCGGCGCGAGCGTGGACGTGGAAACCGGAATCGGAGCGCGAACACGTCTTCAGCGGACAAGTACCCAGGGAAGTGCGGAAGAGACAGCCGGTCGTGCGAGAAAGGATCCTGTGTTGATGCCTCATGCTGAGGGGAGACCGCATGGTGGACCGAGGACTGGGTCGAGTGAGGCTGCTTTGGCACCTTCACCTCTTCCTTCTCCGTCGAGGGTCGTAGGCTCAATGGTGGATTCTACGACTTCTACACCGACGATGAACTTAGCTCAGCAAGGGGCGGCTGCCCTGAAGTGGTTCACGAAGCTAGGGGACTTCGTACAGAGGAGGGCGGCCTATGTGACACATCGACAAGGAGTTGAAGCAGCATTGGTTCAAGAGACGGTATGGTCTCCTTCTGGAAGCCACCGTGAATCTGAAGCTGAAGCGCAGCCACTTTTTGATCCAATACAACGGCGAAGGCTCAGAGAGATGACAGACGAGGCCCCGCAGCTCTATGGTTCAGTGCCACGGAGGGGTGGAACTTCGGAGTCGTCGGGCTCGTACAGCAAAGAGCAGTTGGAACAGGAAGTGCGCAAGCAAGTGGAAAAGGCTATGGCGGGCCATCAACATCTCAACGAGGAGAACCAGAAGCTACGACTGGAAATTGAGCAGCTGAAGGCTGCCCGTGCGGTTACAGAGTTTGGTGGAGGACCTCGTGGGGAGGATGGACGCTTGATGAGAGGCGAGCCTCCTAAGACTGGGGAGCATGAGACAAAGGGGGAACCTGGACGACAAGGTGGTCTTCTACCTGAACGCAATCCGCCTCCAGGACTACCTGTACCCAGTCGTGGGAGGGATGAAGTGGGACGTTCCGTGGTCCACACTCGGGACCCGCCGGAAGTTGCAGAGAGAGCGTGGGAGCAGGACGATGGCCGGCGGGAGCAGACGCCGCAAGGGCGACGTGGAGGATCCCGGGTTAATTTTTCTACACCTGACGGGCGAGGGCGTGAATCAGAGGTTCGTTTCCGGGCAAGGAGTCTCAGCGCATCGAGGGCGGGTTCTTCGGGACTACTTGGAAGCGCGGGAGTGTTTGGAGGGCATGATCGAACTGTGGACCCTGGGCTAGCTGAAGGCAATCCTTTGGGACTTTCAGAAGGCCACGGGGAACATGGCAAAGGTCCTGCTCAGCATGTGCATGGTCAAGGACTTAGCGGTCTTCTACCCGGACGCAATCCACCAGGACTACCGGTACCCAGTCGTGAGAGTGGCCAAGGCCACAATACGCAGGGCGTGTCTGGTCCCAGCAATCAGTATGCGCAGGGCGTGTCTGGTCCCAGCAATCAGTATGTGCAGGGTGCGTCGGGTTTTGGTAAAGCTACAGGTCAAGAAGCTGGTGTGGGGGTTCCAGAAGCGTCAATTGGCAAGTCGCATATGGAAGCACTCCTACAGGGAATGACGCAGCTGCAACAGGCAATGACGATGCAGTTAGGCTTGGCAGCCAGCAAGCCGGAGACGATCCGACCCGGAGTGTCGGGGGCAGAGTTGCCTAAGTTGACTGAGGCGGACGAGTTTGCGGCGATCAACGTTGGGGACTGGCTTCATGGTCTTTCAGGTCCAATGGGAGATTTGACAGATGGTAGCTCGGGATGGTGGAGCGAAACCATGAGGTGCCTAGATGTGTTCTACCAGCAGTTCGTGCAAGCATCAGCAGTAAAGAAGCTTCAGCTGAAGGCAGAGGACTTCATGTCGGACCAGTTGAAAGAAGGAAAGTGGCTGAGGGTCGATAAACGGGCTGCCTCTATGTTGCTTCAGGCCGTGCCGGACACGATCAAACAGGAGCTCTTGGCAAACCGCCTGAACAGCACGCTCGGCATCCTTGGTCGTATTGTCACGATCTACAGGCCGGGCTCTGCTGCTGAACGTCAGCAGGTTCTGAGGGCACTGGAGAGTCCCGGTTCAGCGGCGACGCCAGGCGAGCTGGTTGAGATTCTGCGCAAGTGGGCCAGGTGGTTGAAGAGAGCTCAGGATCTCAGCTTGCAGGTACCCGACCCAAGCATTTTACTTCGGGGGCTCGATGGGGCGGCGAGGGCTCAGCTGGAACGCAGCAGTGATATCTCCTTTCGGGCAAACATGCTGAGGTTCAGTTTGGACTTGGACACAGCGCCGACTTTAACTACGGTCATGAAGTACCACAACCACTTGTTAGGAGAATACGAACAGCATGCATACCGAGGGCGAGGAAAAGGAGGTGCTACCAACCCCCCGGCGATTAAGAATGTGGCCGTGGATGGAACAACCCCTTCACCAAAGTCGGCGGCGACCGCTGGGAGTGCCAAACCTTGCAAGTTCTACCTCTCCGAGGCTGGATGCCAGAGGTCGAATTGTAAGTTTGTCCATGACTGGGCTATGATACCACGAGAGGAGAAGACCGAGAGATGCAAGGCATGCGGCGGCAAAGGACACATGAAAAGGAACTGCCCGGTGAAGCAGTACCCTGGTGATGGTGGCCGACGTAGCGATGAAGGCAAGGGAGGTGGATCGCCAAAGGTTCGGCAGGCTGCGACGGGGACGCAACGGGGAGGAGATGGAAAGAGAGATGACGGGGCCGCGCCTACGAGCGGCTCGGCGAGCTCTGTTGCCGGATCCTCGTTGGGTGTCCCTACGGACACATCGTCACTAACGGCGCCATCAACGACAACAGCTGGGATTCCTCCGGCCGAGGTTGACGACTTCTTAAAGAACGCGGCCCAGGTCTTGAAGACGATGACAGAGCAGCAGGCGAATGACTCCAAGAGTGGACCTTCGGTCAGGATGCTGAAGAAGGTTGTGGCTGTGTACGAGAAGAAGTTGGCTTTGGTGGATTCGGGCGCAACTCATCCGTTGAGACGGGCTACGCAGAGTGAATGGGAGGCTGCGCCAGAGGTTGACGTGGTGGTGGCTGGAGACAGTACGGCAAAAATGAGGCAGAGTCGAGCAGGAACTTTGCTCACCCGACCCAGTGCGGCCCCGGACAAGACCCAAACCATCGTGCCGGTGGGAAGCCTAGTGGGCACTCTGGGCTATGAAATGATCTGGAGTAAGAAAAGATGTTTCCTTCGTGCTCCAGATGGCCGTGAAGTAGCTCTAAAAGTGACGTCAGGTTGCCCGGAGATTGATGAGACCAAGGCGCTTGAGTTGATTGCTAAGATCGAACAAGAGAACCTACAGCAGTTAGAGCGACAAGTGGAGCGCACGAGGTTGGCGATGTTGAGGGCTTCAGCGGTGGAGTGCACGGGTCAACGGGAGCAAAGCTTAGAAGACTATGTTCATAAGGGCAAGTTCGAGGACGGCTACCGTGCAATGGTCATGGCTACCTGGGCTAGGGACCTGGAGAAGGAGGACTTGGTGAAGGCGGTCATGGACCTCCCGGGGTCAAGCCACGAAGCCTGGGACCTGATGTTCAAGCTGGGCTTTAACCGCCGTATGAGAAAACGAATGATGCACAAGGACTGGGTAGTCAAGCTATACAGCGGGAAAAGGGGACCGATGGACAAAGTGTTCAAGATGATTGAGAACAACGGCACGGTGGTGTTGGATGTGGATGTTCAGCGCCTCGCGACATTGGATATGATGAACCCAGAGCCAGAGGACGGGATTTTGAAGTTGCTTTTGTGGGGTGCAGCGACGGGCCGGATCGCGGGGATCATTGGGGGATTGCCCCAGAAAAGGTCCAAGGAGCATTTGATCCGAGCAGTGGTCCTGACGGAGGTGGCTAAAGCAGGGCGAGCAGCTATGTGTGGGGCAGTGGATGTTCCTGTGGATGGGGTTGCTTTGGCCTTGTGGGCGTCTTCGGAGGCGGACCAACATGGAAGCTCCGAGGTCTGGCAGTACGGGTGGTTCCGAAGATGGATTGAGTCCGACCTCCTACAGGTACTACACTTCGAGCAAGGTGGCCTAGCCTAGGGCACCCGCGGAGGAGACCGACGTCTATGGTTACCAACTTGGATGTCGTGGAGTTGCGGGGAGTACAAGATTCTCGGCAACCTCAAGAAGACGAGCGTGGTTCATGGGCGGTGTGGGCCCCTATGCTGATAAGGACGCTAGTGTTTGGCATCAAGAGATGGAAGCAAAGGCCAGGATGGTACCCAAGAATGGTCCAAGCACTACGGGCGGTGGATAGGAGGGCCGGGCGTGGGAAAGGCACTTGGCCAATGATCATGTACCTCATCGTTCAGATTGCCTACAGTGCATTCACAATGCGACAGGGAGACCTCACCGGAAATGTTTGCACAGAGACTGCTACGTGATGAGTGCAGACGTGCTTGGACCGGTGAGAGTGGCAGGACCCAAGGGCGAGCGCTATGGCATTGTGTTCACCTACCAGTACCCGAAGCAACACTTAGCACCAGAAGATCTTCCAGTACCAGAGGAAGAGCTCGATGGATGGAACTTGGATGCTAAGGACCCCAGTCAGAAACAGGAGGAGTTCTCAGAGGATATGAAGGACTACGAGCCGGATGAGGATGAGGCCCCTGAGTTGACTGCAGAGGAGCTAAGGGAACTTCAGAGAGTTCGCGGTGAAGTACCAGAAATGGAGGAAATCTCGGAGCTCTTTGAGATCCGCAAGTTCAGGAAGAAGCCGGGACTCAACAAGGAACCAAAGGAGGACTGGTGGGAGTTCAGAGAAGCAACGGGTGTACTTGTACGGCATCACGAGGCACCGCGCACGTCATTGTTCAGGCCTACGTCGTGGAACGGATGTCCAGTGCATCCGGCGAAGCTGGAACCAACTCGGGTCACGCAGATCAGCTACGTCGGTGGTGGAGTGGAAATGGAGACTTCGGATTGGCAGGGACCACAGTCGGGGTCCCGGAAGCTCTCAAGGTCTTGGACGGGAAGGTCCACATTCCGGATATCACCAGCGGAGGAACCCGAGGACGAGGAGCTCTTGAAGAAAGATGAAGAGTACTGGGAAAAGATCATCGGGGATCTCACGCAACCAGTGGAGATGGACACGATCTACATGGTGTATCCGGTGAGAGCGCGACGTGGAGGAGATGCACTGCTGGCTATACAAGAAGCAGTGTTGAGGTTGAAGCTTTGGGGACTCCCAGTGGCTAGACTACACACAGATAGGGGGTCGGAGTTTGCCTCGAAGGGACTTCGACGATGGCTGCTGGATCGGGATATATTTCATACCCGATCAGAGTCATTGGTACCCCAAACCAATGGAGCTGCCGAACGTGGAGTGAGATGGTTCAAAACAAGGGCCAAGGTTCTTCTGGCTGAAGCCAAGGTCAACACCAAGTACTGGACTTTGGCGATGCAGCACGCAGCCAACAGGAGAATATATGACCGTTTGGGTTTGACGAAGCCAGCATTGTTGCCTTTTGGTTCCACAGTGATGATCCGGAGGAAGGTGTTTGGCAACAACAAGAAGTACGACCTCACGGACCGGTGGGAGCAGGGCAAGTACCTTGGGTTGTCGGACTCGACCAAGGGAGGAGCCGTGGTTCTGAGACCGAGTGGGATTCTTACCGAGACCCTCAACCTCAGGACGGATGTTGTGGATCCTCGGCGACTTCTACAGGAGGAGGAAACAGGCTCAGTTGCTGGGGGAATAGGAGAGTTGGCCTTTGAGGAGCCGGTGATTGATCTACCTGAACCAGATCATCGTTTGAAGGGGAAGCAGGCGCCGCCAGAAATGAGGAAGGTTGGTGAAGTTTCGCAAGAACCTACAGCGCGCAAACCTACGGGTTGGACTATGAGGCGAATCCTAAAAGTTCAGGAGGAGAAGGCCAAGCAGCTGTACGACATGGGGAAGTTCAATGCGGAGGACTGTGCCGCCCTGCTTGAGGACCTGGACTTGACTGGGAAAATGAGAACCAGGACCAGAGGACAGCAGACTTCGTCTATGATCCTGGGCGCCTACGTCCACGGCGGTATGAGGGGGATCACTACGGCTTCGAGAAAACGACCCTGGCTCACCAAGTATTTGAACATGGTGCTCCGGATGAGGACAGCTGAGAGCCTGGAGGAGGAATGCCATTGGACAACGCTGGGAATCTTCAGGGCTGCAGAGATTCCGCCCCATAGAGATTTGAGGAAGCAGCCGAATACCCGGAACTACGTCACCGAGATCGGGAGTCAAGAGGGTGGAGGACTGTGGGTGGAACGTACAGATGGGGAAGTGGGCTTCGTCAGCAGAGAACGTGGAACTCCCTATCAAAGAGAACTACCTGACGGTACAACGATGGATGGAGATATCGTGAGAACCACTTCCACAGCGGTGTCCTTTGATCCCAAGAAGGTGCACTCTTACATGAACAGGGAGACAGAAAGATGGGTGTTGGCTGGGTTTACTCCTTTGGGTGTGGATAAGTTGAAGGCTGAGACTGTTCAACATCTACTTCATGGAGGTTTTCCATTGGAAGGTTCTGATGTTCCGTTGGGAGAATTGACACAACTCAGTGATGAGTGGGAAGGTAGTGATGTGGACTCAGAGATTGCCTCATCAAGCGAGGAAGATGAGGAGGTTGAAGAGAAAGCTCGGGTACTTCGCGCTACAGCCTGGAACAGGAGCAGCAAAATGGAAAGACCAACGGGTTTCAGACCTACGTGGAGAAGATGTATGAGGACTACAGCAACGACATGCTCCATAAGCAGGAAGCAATGCTGCGGAAGATCCTGAAGGTGAACCTTGGAGAATCTCGGGAAGTTGAAGTAGAGGCCCTTTTGGAGGCTTTGCAAGAACCTCTGGAAATGGTTCACAACGTGAGTCTACCTGAGATGAAGAAGTACCTCAGCAGGTGGAAGCCAGCTATAGCCAAGGAAGTCAGTGGGACTGTGCGAAAGATCGGGCCAGAAGAGGCTCGAAGGCTCAAAGCCGAAGGACTAATGGTCCTCCCCGGAAAGGGGGTTTTTACAGCGAAGCCTCCAACAGACAAGATGGACACCAAAGCCGGATACTTCAGGAGGAAGTGTAGGATTGTGGCATGCGGTAACTACATTCCCCAGGATGGCATGGCGGTCTACGCATCAGGTACTACAGCCGACTCCTTTCGGTTTGCCGTTGCCTACGCGATCTACCGACGCTGGACTGCAGGAGGGACTGATGTGTCCAACGCCTTCACCCTGGCTCCCATGCCAGGGGATAAGTTGTACGCACTGCAACCTCCGGCGGTGGTGGTCATGGCACAGGAAGCTCTCCAAGGAGAGCTATGGCTAATAGAGCGAGTGCTCTACGGCCTGAGAGAAGCCCCCAGACTATGGGGGGGATTTCGTGACGGCCGTTTCAGGGAGGCAAAGATCCAACATGAAGACCGAGTGTTGACGCAACAGTGCCTGGAGACGGATGAGAATGTGTGGCTCATTAAGTACCAGGGGGAACCCGAAGTACAGGGGGTGATGCTGGTTTATGTCGATGACATTTTGTTCCTGAGTACTTGTGCCATCGTCCAGAGCATGTACGCTTGGTTGGTCAGTGAATGGAAGTGTACGTCCTTGGAGATGCTGAACGATGGCTTTATAAGGTTCCTGGGCATGGAGTTGAGGAACTACCAGGACGGCATCCACATCTCTCAGGCAGGATATGTTCGTGATCTACTACGTCAAGGCGGAGTTCAAGAACAGTCAAAGGGTCTTACAGTGCCGTGCGCCCGGGAATGGTTGCAGGACGATGATTCAGATGATGAAAGGGAGGTTGCGGACCCAGCACTGATCAAGATAGCCCAGAAGGCGACGGGGGAACTATTGTGGCTCAGCACGCGGAGCCGACCGGAGTTGGCCCACAGCGTGGCGTGCATGGCGGCCAAAGCCCTCAACAAGCCCCGGAGAAGCATCGAGATCCACAAACGAGTCATGCAGTACCTTTCCAGGACAGCGGACTACGGCATGTACTATTTCCATGACCCAGAGGAGCCGCTGTTGGCGGTTTATTCTGATGCCAGCTTCGCGCCAGGAGGAGGAAGGTCCTTTGGTTGCATAATGGCACAGCTGGGTGGAATGACTATAGCATGGCGGGCGAGCAAGCAGCCTATCATTTCCCTCAGCGTAGCAGAAGCAGAGCTCTACGAAGGGGTGTCAGCAGTACAGCTTGGATTGGAAATAGAAGCGCTGCTCAAGGAGCTGCAAGAGGAGCCAGTTATGGTTTTGAGAATCGACAATCAAGCTGCTCAAGGGTTGGCAAGCGAGAGTCCAGGTTCCTGGAAAACCCGCCATTTGCGGGTAAGGGCGCGGTTCCTGAGACAGGAGACACTCGCAAAGCGATTGCTTATCATCCACGTTCCGGGTGGGAAACAAAGGGCAGACCTCGGCACAAAGGCTTTCGACCTACCAAGGTTTCGCGTGCTGTTGGGCTTGTGGAACATGGTTCCATGGGTTGAGACTGCGAACACGGCGGTGAAGACGGTTTCTACTCTTACGTCTAAGAAGGCCCTCTTGTTTGTGATGATTTGTTTGATGCTCGTAAAGGGGGTCCAAGGACACAAGGAAGCGTTACCGCTGGATGGATCGGTTGAGTTCTACTTCATTGTGGTGGTGCTAGTGATCGCGGCGGTGGGTGTATGGGAGCTTGTTAAGAAGGCTGGAAGGATGTTGATGACGCAATGGTCGGCGTCGCAGCGTAGGCGACAACGGGCCGAACGACTCCGGACCCGCACCGAGAACGCGGTGCAGGAGGAGCTGAGGCGCCGAGAGATCGAGCTTACCTCTCCATCGCCTACGAAACGGGCTACCACGAGACGATCTACTTCTTCGACAATGAGTCCAGCGCCGAGGACACCTTTGAGGAGCTCATATGTTGATCAAGGTGTTCAAACGGAACCTCTACGGGGAATGATTCCTGCAGATCGGCTGGAGGCCTACAAGGGGCCGTTCTACATCACGACACACGGAGACAAGATACACCTGACGTCGTACTGTCATGGACAGAGAAATGCTACGAGACCTTCCAAAAGGTATGACCTGTGTGACTACTGTGATCGAAGCCAAGGTCTGTATGTAATAGTTCCGTGAGAAGTGGAAGCAGTAGGGCATGCAATCTCAAAAGGATTACACCTCCGCTGTAAAGAGTCTTCACAGAGAAGGCGAGGAGGAGTGCAGAGATTCAGAAGCATGCCTCGTGAGTTCATTAGGAAAGGACCTGTCATGTGCACAGATGCTGACGGGTTCTGACGGCCGAAACATGTGGCTCAAGGAACAAAAAGAGAGCGATCGGGCCATTGGCCCATTCAATTCGGAATCATGGAGGATGACTTCGCACAGCCGTTCGCTGATCTTCCCAGAGTATGTGAACAAAACCCTAAACCCTAACCGTTTCGGATTTAGGCTTTGGGCTTTGAGGACTTGGAGGGGAAAATCTCAACGTGGGAAGGCCAGTGAGGCCCTGGACCACGAGGAGGTGAAGCCGCTGTTGGAGCGGCTCAAGGACGGAGCTCACGGTTTAGGGGTTTAGGGGTTTAGGGGTTTAGGGGTTTAGGGGTTTAGGGGTTTAGGGGTTTAGGGGTTTAGGGTTTAGGGAGTTTAGGGGTTTAGAGTTTAGGGGTTTAGGGGTTTAGGGTTTAGGGGTTTAGGGGTTTAGGGGTTTAGGGTTTAGGACTGAGCTCGCAAAGGGACCTCGAGTGTTTTGTGTTGGCTTGTTTTTTATTGGGCTTTTATAGGGCTTTAGAGGGTTTTGCAGGTGTTTTAGGGTTTGGTTGAGGATGCCGGATGTTTGGGTTCAGGATTTGGCGGTTTAAGGGCCTTCAAAGCTGTTGGTCTATACAGAGCTTGGTTTCAACGAAGCGGGTTCACAGATATGGAGGCTTTGCTATGCGTTCTATGAGGATGTTTGACGCTCGATGGGCTCGTGCCGGATTTCGTGTACGGTTTACTTACCTTTGGTTAGTAGGGAATGGAGGAATGGGTACAACTATAACTACTATTACTACCATTCTTCCATTCCCTACTAACCAAAAGTAAGTTTAGGGTCTTGGGAGGCTGCCGCTCTTGGATTTCCTCCGTGGCTAGGATTTGGCGGGCGTTCATGGCTTCGGGTATTGGTTGCTGTGGGGCATAGAGGTGTTTTGGGTTGCCATGCAGCTTGTTCTGTAGGATTGTTATGGGGCTTTCAGCGGGATTTTTCCTAGTGTCCAGTGTTCCGTGATGGTCTTCAGGGATCTTAGGACGGCTTAGAGTGGTTTTGGGTTTCTGATCAAGCTTTCTGATCAAGCATTTTGAGGGTTTGTGGGTGTTTTGCACTTGGAAAAAGTCGCAAGAAGGCGCAAGCCAGCAGTGTTCAAAAGCAGTGCGCCCCGGTAGTCGTCAAGATTCCAAAAGTTTGTTTGTTGCGGAGGGTTCAAGGTTCAAAAAATTGGCGCGAAGTGCGGTCTGCAACCTCTTTGCTGCTACGCAATAGGAAGACACCGTCAGGCTAAAATACAGCGTTGCAGCCCAGTCCGGATCATTGATAGAAAGTCTATGCAACCTTCAACACCTCGGGAGCAGCCACAAACTCTGACATTCCTGGCCGGACGATGCAAGGAGCTGAAAGCGAGGTATCACGAGATGAAGCCGCCCGAAGAGGACGGTCCGTTTTTGTGTTATCAAGTAATTTGGGGGCTCCTTGTTAGAATTATAGTATAACATACCCCAAAACCCTGTTCTAATTGTTAAGGCCCCTACATTAGGGTTTAGGTTTCTTTCCTAAACCCTAAACCCTAAACCCTAAACCCTAAACCCTAAACCCTAAACCCTAAACCCTAAACCCTAAGCCCTAAACCCTCTTTCTTTTTGAGGGGGGCGTCCAGGGACTTTGGGGCTTCCGGGCCCTGAAGACTGAACCGCAACTATGTCCTTTCCCAAGTATGCCAAGGCTCCAGCATGTCCGGTCTTGGGTTTAGGGTTTAGGGTTTAGGGTTTAGGGTTTAGGGTTTAGGGTTACAGTAACGATTCTACAAGCGTTCGAAAGCCAGACAAAGAAGATATCCGATCAATAACTTCGTCGTATTCAAAGAAGCTTACAAACCCGTCGAGCAATTGTAAGAGACTCTCTTCGAAGGCCCTTATCTAATGTAGCAAGAAATGCAAAAATTGTACATGATGAGCATTGGAATTGGTTTTGGAGGTTTCGGTTCAGGCAAAGCATCGAGTGGCCGAGTTAGAGCTGGTTAGTCGTACTTGATTTCCATGTGTGAACATGAACCGGGCGAACCCTAAATTGGGTCTCATGCAAGTTTGCTTTTGCTTACATAGGTTGGGTGCCCTTATCGATTCCCCCAACCGCAAGTCCGCAAGAAAGCAGATCAGACGACGCAGCGGCAAAGGCCCCCTTCTAGAAGACACCGGGTCGCGCCCATCAACACAAACGCAGCTGAGCTCCACTAGCTACCCGCAAGGGTTGTGAATCTTTGATTCCGTGAATCTCAAACCCCACAGCCCGATGCTGTAGACTGTGAACGCACGCTTTTTGAGTTGCACGTCCGCCCAAGACTCTTTTGGCCCGTTTCGGGTTCAGAGTTTAGGGATTTAGGGGTTTAGGGTTCAGCGGTTTAGGGGTTTAGGGTTTAGGGGTTTAGGGTTTCGGGTTCAGGGTTTCGGGTTCAGGGTTTGGGGTGGGGTCTCGCTGAGAAGGGTGCCCTTCCAATTCGAGGAAGCTGGGGAGGCGCCCGACAGCTAACGAGGCCAGCGCAATGCTTGGTGAACCCTAAACCCTGAACCCCTAAACCCTAACCCCTAAACCCCAAACCCTAAATCCTAAACCCTAAACCCCTAAACCCTAAACCCTAAACCCTAAACTCTGTGCAGAGAGAAGGGCTTGAATGGTAGGTGGGCAGCCTTTCCGAAAGGGCCCCGAAAGGGGCTTTGGAGGTCTTATGCCATCCATAACTCCCAAAACTACTTCAAAGATCGTAAGTAGGGTTTTAATCAAGGTAACTGCACCTATATTTACTTATAACCCCAATTCGAGGGACTTATAACTATTATAATCTGACTTACTACGTCCCATGGTCCTCCAAGTAGGGGTTTAGGGTCTAAGGCAGGGTTAAGGGATCGCTAAATCCTAAGCCTACACCCAGTCCCGAAACCTTCGAAGGCCAACGACGTCAACCCTAAACCCTACAGGGTTTGGTGTATAAAGTAGAGTTCCTTATTATGGGCTTCTATAAAGTCTCTAAACAGTAAACCCGACTCCCTCGACCCACTGCCAGCTCCATGATGAAGATCCGTCAAGCCTTATCCCAAGGTTTTCGAGTAGAAGCCAGAAAGTTGGAACATCATTGTCCTCATGCCCTTAAGGTAGAATATAGGGGATCCCAGCACTAATCATCCTAAACCCATGTTCCAACTATAAGCCCGAATGACCGCTTTCGAAAACAGGCCCCGACGCAGGGCTTTGGGCTTGGGGTGTAGGCGATGAAACGATGTTGAAATGTCACCACAAGCCAGGTGGAAAGCTCGATCATGCTTCAACAAATACCCAGCCTCATGCTGTTAGCATCCTTCATGTCGTGCCAACCCAAGATGTGAAGCCCCAGTCATACAGGGGCTTCATAATTACCAATACTATTTTTTGGGGGCTCCTTACTATAACTTATCATTACAGTATGATATAACCCTAAACCCTAAACCCTAGATATACCCCAAAACCCTTTTCCACTTGTTGAGGCCTCTATATTGTACAGCCCTTTCGCCCGTTCCGTTTGCCCAGGGCTTCCGGCTCAGCTGAGGCCGAAGCTGGGTTAGGAGCCTGTACATAGCATGCTTCCTGTCCTTGATCGGCGTCGAGGATTTTAGGAGCTTGTGTGGCTTGTTTCAGATGTTAAGAGCTTGTGTGTCTTAGGGCTCAGGTCGAGTCTAGGATTTTCACAGCGTTTGGTTTAGGTTTAGTTCAAGGTTCGAGGATTTCTTGATCGAGTCTATCGAGTCTTGGATTTACTTTTCAGGGTTACGGATTAGGGGTCTTGGGTTTTAGGACTTCGGGCTTTAGCCCTAAACCCTAAGCCCTAAATCCTAAACCCTAAGGGTTGTGGGGGAAACGGGGCTGTCCTTGATCGAGTCTAAGACTTCAGGGTTGTCTAGGGTCTAACAGTTCGGGCTCTTGGGGTTTAAGGCTTTAGGTTTCAGGGTTTAGGGTTTCTGGTATCCTGTCATGGCACAATCGACCCCAAAGCAATCCTGCACAAAGACCAAGACCCAACCATTTCAAGAGAAGTCCAATCAGAGCATCTATTAACAGCCTCAACGTGCAAGAATAAAAGGAGTCGAATGAGTATCTTCAAGGACAGGATCCGGGCCGAAAGCATGCGAAAGAGCATCACCGAATCTCGGTGCCTAGAGAACGCGTTTCAGGATCTCTGCTGGTTTTGTGTTTTAGTTTCAGGGGGAAGAGCCTTTGGTTGAACGGTTTCTTGCCTTACAGGTTACTTGGCTTAGGGGATAAGGCTATAAGGTTTTGGGTTTAAGCTTCAGTGTGTGGGGTTTGGGTTTTGGGCTACCTAGGAGTGGGGCTTGCAGAATCCAGGGGACATTCCCGACGGCTTCAGCTTTGTAGCCTATAGTGCCTAGCCGGTGTCTGACCGCAGTAGCTGCGTCTGGCCGCCGTGAAAAAAAGACTTGAGTACAGGATAAAAGAAGCCGTAAATCACACCAAGCATCCAAAAAAGAGGGTATCTTCCCGAATTCACGGGTTTTGGTGACACACTTGCCAAGAAGTTTGGCCTTTGGGGTACTTCCGAAACTCGAGAAGAAGTGCGACAAGAGACCGTATGCCTTTTAGGGCCTAAGCTGTCAGCTGGGCTTAAGTTTAGAGTTGGAGGTCTTCTGG